AAACAATATTACTCGAATACAATAATTCTGATTGGTGATGGTGGGTGAAACTAAAGTTTACCAAAGTCTGAATCAATTGCTTCGCAGAATGACTCATTGATTCGAATCGCTCGAAACGTTTAAGTACGACGAAAACTCAGCTCATAATGACACGTTATACAAACCAACTGCAAATATTTCCATAAAAGTGCAATCTATAAAATTATATATATAAATAATTACCAAATGGCAATTAAATTGGCCATAAATCTGTAGTGCATGTTTTGTGTTTTCTTAGGTCAATAAGAAGCAGTTTAATCTCATTCTCATTTTGCATTATCTAGTGTGCTAATTTGAGCTCGAAACACACCTGGAGGGTTTCTTTATAGAAGTTGCATCGTTCTCATCTTTCCAGGAGGACCAGGTGCAAGAGTTCATGAATAAATCCTACAACGACTCTCAAGTGACGTCGAGAGTCTTGAGCTACAGAGAAACACGACTCGCGATTCTTATCCTTCAGAAACGAGAGAGCAATGAACACTGAATTGCTCCCCATAAAATATACTATTGCTGTCTATACACATGCATTAAAGAGGTCATATGATGTGATTTAAATTTTTCTTTCTCTTTGGAGTGTTACAAGCTCTTGGTGCATAAAGAAGATCTGTAAAGTTGCAAAGACTAAAGTCTCAAATCCAAAGAGATATTCTTTATAAAAGAATATTTGTCACTGTATTTGTCACTGTTTTGCCTTATAGATGACCTTAAGACTAACATATTGATACTAACACCCAAAAAACTTTAATTCTGATTTCATGGGGACTTTAAATTTTCGGTCTCTTTGGTATGGAAGCCCATTTGCACCATGTAAGGAGAAAAAAATAATCATGCTTTGGTAAATCATAATTATAACTAATGAGAAATTATGACTTGACATAGGCCTACCAAGTTGAAATTATGACTCATAAGGTCGAAACTGACATACTAATTCATAATTATGAGATAAAACATCGGAATTATGGCTTAGAAACTCGACATTTTAAAATAAAAGTCTAAATTATGAATTAAAAAGTCATGATACTTGAATAAAAAATTATGATAATAGAGATTTGTGGCCTTTCGTCTCATAATTTCAACTTTTTATCTCATAGTTATGCATTTTTAATGTTATAATTTCGACTTTTTGCTTTATAGTTATGATTTTTCATGTTATAATTTCGACTTTTCATCTCATAATTATGACTTCTAAAGTCTGACTTATCAAAGCATGAATTTCTTCTTTTTTTTTGGCGCGATTGGGTCTCCATAGTTTGGCGCTTGTACTGTTAGCGTCTTATTAGGCTTTAGTTTACGGCGAAGGACTTTTATTTTGAAAGCAGCAGCAGCAGCAGCAGCAGCAGCACGCTCGTCAGCTGCTTCGTCGCGTTTCCGTGTTTCAGATCACTCGATGGTTTCGGCTGCGTGTTGAGGAGCGTTTAGGAGATTTTTGTGTGGTCGAAATCAAGATTTTAGAGCTCAGACACAAGCTCAGCATTCGTCTGCTGTACAGAGCTTCAAATCCGCTCAGATATGGATAAATCACGAGTGTTTGTGTCGATGTGGGGCTTCCTGCTGATGTGTGTCGCATTCAGTCTTACTGAAGCAGCAGCAACAACAACAACTCATCCAGCTGTCCACAAACGTATGTGATTACTTGCCTGTGTCTTCTTTTTTATCATGCATCTCTATATTAAAATCTAAAAATGCTTGTAATTTAAATATGCATGCAAATATATTTACATAAATTATTATTATTATAGTGTAACGTTAAGCATTTTTCTATAAGTTATACTTTGCTAATGTATTTAATATAGAACTGTCACTAATTTTAATGTCATTAGTGTTAGTCAGTTATATAAAAACACTGAAAGGACTATTATGAATAAAAGTTGCGTATGCAAAGTCAATGAAAAATGTTGTTACTCTGTTATGCCATTTATGATGTGACTCCAGGATGTTATACTTTATGACCAATCTTTGGACAAATGCAGCTCTTTATTTTGAGAGTGAAAGTGTTTTTATTCTTCTGTGTCGTCCCAGCATGCAACACTCAGACTTCCTGTGAGCTGTGCCTGGCCAATGTTTCGGTAAGATCACACGGCACTCCTTTACTGCTTATTAGCCGGGTTTATAAATTAATATTGTAATTTACGGAAGTGTTTATAGAAAATGGTACATTAGACGATCAGGGATCTGCTCAGATGCTCTAATTTGATTAATTATAACCTGTAATTAAATAATAATAATAATAATAATAATAATAATAAATGTTTTTGTAACATACTGGAGGATGTCATTAATAATAACGATAAAAATAATAATAATAATAATAATAATAAATGTTTTTGTAACATACTGGAGGATGTCATTAATAATAACGATAAAAATAATAATAATAATAATAATAATAAATGTTTTTGTAACATACTGGAGGATGTCATTAATAATAACGATAAAAATAATAATAATAATAATAATAATAAATGTTTTTGTAACATACTGGAGGATGTCATTAATAATAACGATAAAAATAATAATAATAATAATAATAATAAATGTTTTTGTAACATACTGGAGGATGTCATTAATAATAACGATAAAAATAATAATAATAATAATAATAATAAATGTTTTTGTAACATACTGGAGGATGTCATTAATAATAACGATAAAAATAATAATAATAATAATAATAATAAATGTTTTTGTAACATACTGGAGGATGTCATTAATAATAACGATAAAAATAATAATAATAATAATAATAATAAATGTTTTTGTAGCATCCTGGAGGATGTCATTAATAATAATAATAATAATAATAAATGTTTTTGTAGCATCCTGGAGGATGTCATTAACATTATTATTAATAATAATAATAATATATGTGTTTGTAGCATCCTGGAGGATGTGATTAACATTAATATTAATAATAATGAAGGTGTTTTCTCCTAACAGTGTTTGTGGTGCCAGACGAACAGCAGCTGCTCAGATTATCCGGTGTCGTATGTGATTCCTCCGGCCTCGGTGTGTGCGCTCTCTCAGGCGCGCTGGGGTGTTTGCTGGGGTGAGTTCACCTTCGTGCTTTAAGCAGCTTTGAGATGCACAGAACTGGTTAAATCTACCCGCTGATCTCTAATGTACAGCAGCTGCTGAGCTGATGGAAGTAATACTTTCACATCGGTGAAGGGAGATTTGCATTCAGCCTGGAAGTCCCCAGTGGTTTTGTCACGTACTGAGCACATTACGTTCATTACTATGCGGATCTCTAGAATACTTGATTCTGATTGGCTGTTCGTGGCATTGAGCGGTTAAATAGTATTGAATAATGATGACCGTCGTCCAGAACACGGTATAACTGAGCGCTCATCGGTGAAACCTAGTGCTATTTATGATACTGTTATAGTTTTATTATTTCGGATTATATATTTAATATTTTTAATTTCAGTAAAATTTTTAGATTTTTTTTTGTGTGTAATTTTATTACTTTTGGGTTTTTTTTATATTTAAAGTTTCAATTTATTTTGTTTTATTTCAGTTAATAATTTTAGTACTTCAGCTTAAACTTATTTTTGTTAGTTGCCAAGGCAACCTTTGTAATTTTCCTTTCGTTTTTAATAGTATTCATATTTTATTTCAGCTTTATTTGAATTAGCAGAGATGTTTTTAATAGTTTTAGTCAACAGAAGTGCTCATGTTTCGTCTCTCTGCGGCCTCTACGAGTATAGAAAATAAAATAATTTATATTCTAGCTGTTCTTTATTTATTTATTTGATAAGTCGTGGTGTGATAATGTACATTCAGACTGTCTTCATCACAGTTAAAGTCCCTGTCGGGTTTTATTTAGTGATACTGTTTCTCACTTCTACAGTGAAAGTCTCAAATGTGTCGTGTGTTTCAAAAGTCAGTTTCAGCTTCACAAAACCTCTCATCACTTACCTGACGTTCACTCAGAGTCACTTAAAGTGTCCCGATTATGTCGAACTGAAAGTGAAACCGTACTGGATGAGAGCGGAGTCCCCTGCTCATATTTCATCCCAATAAATTGTTTTGCATAAAGAAAATCAAGCCTGTTTTGTACACTGTAAAAATATATGTTTTTGAAGTTGTAAAAAAAAACTAAGCTAATTAGCCTAGAGTATATTTGACAAGAAAACATAATTTCAGTCTTTCTATTTCAAAGATTTATGTTTGAGGTCAGTGTTTTACCTGCCATTTCTTTATAATTCATTCTGAAATTTACTAGCAAAAAATATTTCTACACCATTTCTGTTTTTTGTTTGTGTGTAGGGCCATTAAGATTTTTTTGTAGTGTGAAAATAATTTTATTATTTATGCAAAAACTGTTATTCTCTTCTGGCTGAACTGCTCCTTTAACCCTCTTAATGCATTCAAAATCTATATATATATATCTATAATATATATATTTGCATTCTGGGGCTGTTATTATTTTTCATCTGAAAGCATATTGTATCTGATCAGCAACTTCTCATTAATGCACGAATGTAGAAACATTTCAAAAAGTGTTGAATGTTACCATTATATTATTGCATTTACCTCTTAAAAAGATAATAATATAGTAATATTACAAAACAAAATAGTAATATTACACATGAACCACACCAAAAAAACTACGGTCCTGTACATATACATATATATATATATATATATATATAAAAATGCATGAAATTTATAAGAACATATAATCTGAGAATTACTGATATTAACCCCATTGGAATGAATGGGATTTCATTAAATTCCTTTACATTTATAACTCATGATTGCTCAAAAACAGTCCAAATTTATGAAACCTGCATATTTATTTCAATCAAAACAACATAAATATTACTCGTAAAACCCCCCCCCCAAAACAATTATTTACTTCGTAATCAAAAATAATAATTAGTTTTTCATGCTGCAGTGGTTCATCAGTAGACGTACATATTCATGTTTATCAGCACGTGTGTGAGATATGAGGAAAAGACTGAATATATTTTACAGCGTAGATACTTTTACAAAAGTGTTTTGGCACCTAAGGTGCTCCATACATACCCAGCTCAAAATGACCCGAACATGACATCTGTAAAATGTTTTTAAATGCTTATCTCTCTTAAAAATAATTTTATAAAGCGGAGAGTTCCGGTGCTTGGCTCTGATTGGCTGAGCCGCGTTCGAAGCTGTTGTAAATGACGCTACAAAGTAACACACACCTTTGTTTACGTTTGTGTGTTGCTCGGCAACTACTTTGTAGCAACCACAACTGTTTCTGAGGCGCTACATTGTTTGGTGGAAGAACACTGTGTTTATTAATATCATTACACTTTCTTTGCTCCGTTTTATTTTGTGAAACCGTACTACGTATATAACCGTTTTATAAAAGCAGTGATCCCCGTGAAGCCGTGAATTTATAACAGCTGAGGGGTTTTAGGCACGATGCTTGGGGCTTATTGCTTTAATCTCTTAAAAATAATTGTAAAAAATCAGAAATTTTGATGGATCTTTTCTAGGTCAAAACAGACCTGATTGTGTTATAATATGTAGTTTTAGTGCTCACACTCACATGATATCAATAAAAACAACAGCAGGACTCCTCGATCATGAGAACGGAGTTGGTGTCAGTAAACGTCCAGCAGGTGTCAGAAGTGACCAACACACGGATCTCTGATCTTCAGTGTTGTGTTGTGGTGTTGTGTGTTGTTTCAGTGAACTTCGAGGCTCTGATCATCGCGATGGCTGTGGTGTGTGGGACTCTGCTGCTGGCCGTCTCCGTCTGCTGCTGCTGCTGCTGCTGTAAACGCAGACGCTCGTCCAGGTCAGAGCTCCACCGACACCGTGCTTCATATCACACTCACAGCTTTCTCTTCCACCTCAGAGCTGCCATGTGTTCTGTGCTCAACGATGAACCCTTTAAAGCCCCGGCAGATCTCAGTTTGTGAAACCGAGCTGTTCATTGAACCCTGGAAAGCCGGACATATGAAATAATAGTCCGAAAAAACAATTTTTTAAAAATTATTTTAAAAAAATCTAATTTTATGGCTCATATAGTGAGAATATGGAGAGTGAAACTGAGCAAAAATATGTAATTTAGGTGCAGATGCTGATATTTATATGATGAATTCTGCTGCTTGTGATGTAAATCAGTGAGATCTTTATAACAGTACAGCAGATATTTACATAAACTGCTCAAAATATCAGTCGTGGCTTTATATCTCCAGTAATAATAAGATGAGAGTGAAATGCTCCAAACATATAATGCAGTGACTGAGAGCTGAAGAAATAAAGGCTCCTCAGAAGATGTGAGATGTTCTGGAGGCTTGTGAAGATCATTCCTCCGCTGAGGAACAGTGAAAGTAAAGCTTCTGGAAACAAACGCTCCTCAAAAGATCCTGAGGATCAGATTTGAGACTCTAAAACATGATTGATGGAGAATCAAGTAAAGCTGAGCTGCTTCAGTCCAGTAAGTGTTCATCCGGAGATATTACTGACGTTATTCTGACGCTTACTTGATCAAAATCACTCAAGATTTTCATGCATCAAATAAGATACAGTAGGCTTTATAGGGTTAATAAACACAAATGCATTTGGTATGGCATTTATTTATTAATTAAGAACAGTTTTGGGCTCATTACTCCAAAAATGTAATTTATTACGCCTTTCAAATGTAATATTATTACTTATTACTATCTGGCAACAGTAATGAGTTACACTACTAGTTACATTACTTTTCCTTCACGTTTCTTCTCCATAAAATTCTTCTAAAATGTTACTAACAATATATTTCTGCCTCATCATTTGATCGAAATCTACACAGGATCGCAGTCAGAAGTTTTTTACGAACACTCAATGATTAATAGTGACTTAAGTAAAAGTGTTGTATTAATTGTCAAGTGTCGCTTGAAGCTAATTGTAGCTATAATTTCTCTGTTACCCTCATATGATTATATTTCATGAAGTATTTTATCAGAAGAAATCACACGAGTGCATAAGATTCCAAGCTTTCCTGATGCACTGGTGACTTCATGAGTCGTGAAAATCATGAAAATAAATCTAGGAATTATTGATTTATTGATTCATATCGATAGGGTTTGAGGTATCAAAAGTAACTGAGTAACAAGCTGTTTTATGGATGGTAACTGTAATATTATTATTATTAGGGCTGGGTAAAAAAACATCGATATTAATCTCATTTTTACGGAACGATATCGATTCTTAAATCCCAAGAATCGATTATTCTCGCCTGTTTTCAGTTAATGGACGGAACATTGAAGGGTACTTCCCATGCAATATATCGCAATAAGCATTGTGCTTTGGTACGTTTAATATGAAACAAAGTCTCAGATTTCAAATTCTGTCCATTGTATTGCAGTATTCAAACAATAAATGCCATTTTGGCGCTGTTTAATGTGGAGTGACAGATCGCTGTAGAGCCTCAGTGAACTGATCATCTCCTCCGCTTTATTACTAGTTATAGCACAAAATAAACATGACTAAACATCCGAAGGCAAGTTAAAAGAAAGAGTACAACTTTACAATCCGTATCCTGTCTCATGTAATCGCTCAATCAGTGTTTCAGCTGCGCAAAGACGTCAATATAACGGCTTGTAAACAATGTCACGTAATGAATATGTTATATGATGCATATATTTAGCAAAATGTTACTGTTCTTCAGTGTTTAATTTATGTTTGAATAAATCCATCAAGGTTTTATGACAGCCACCGTTATGTTTATATTTTTTAAAAAACGAGAAGAAATATTATGTCATTGTAACTTTATTATTTAAAAAACTTCAATAAATGTACTTTTATTGTGTAATTTGAACAAATCAGTCAATTTTAACCTTCAATATTATAGTAATGCATTACCAACTGACTCTCGTGTATATTTTTACAGCATTAGTTGAGATTTTTTTTCCTTGAAAATTTGGCATGCACTGTACCTGATATAGATATCCAAAATAATCGATTAATTGATAATCGAATCGCAAGCGTGTGAATGGGAATTGAATTGTGAAATTTGTGTCAAAACCCAGCCCTAATTATTACTGAAATCTTATTAGTAATTACCGTATTGACCCGAATATAAGACGATGTTTTTTTCTTGGAAATACATCTGAAAAAACGCGGTGGTCTTATATTCAGGGTCTAGACTTTGACATGTCAATAATACACACACAACACTAGGTGGCGCCAAATACGCATAAAACGAGTGTGCCATGAAATACGTAATGTAATGCGCTTTGTAAAGATCGCGAGTGAAAACAAAAGAAAAGAAAAGCTTACAGCTGCATGAGTCGTGACGGTCACGTTAGCCTGATGGGACCAAACTCTCTTTGTGATTTTAAAACGTAAGACGGTACCCAGATTTGAAGACTACAGTAAGATTTAATTCTACTGTTAATAAGATTTTGGTAGGCTACTATTAGATGGATAGCCTAAATGTCCTAATTCAGATGGGCTACCTGTTTTTTTTTTACTTTTTTAAATGGTATATCAAAAAGTGTATATTTTTTAAATGTGATTGTTGGTACATT